GAGGGGGAGGGGTCTACTAGAGGAGTGTGTTTTTTTTTTAATCGTATTCAAAAATACAGAAAAAATAATTGTTTATTCCGGTGGGTCTGTCGTGGTTCGATTCCTATACGCGGTTACGAACTTCATCACGTCGACTCACTTCGATAATGGAAATTTGACTTTAAACTTCTCCTCGCCGATGACATGATGTAATAATATTTTAAGTTAGAACCGCGACGACTGGCGGAAAAAAAAGTTTTGTTTTGTATGATTGCAGAATATCTACCTATAACTATTAAATCGCGGTCGGTCGTATACGCATACGCAGCACACTTAACACACACACACACACACACGTCTAAAGAAATAATAATGTTGTTTTATTACTTTTGATAGATAGCAACATCCTCGACTACTAAATTGCCCCCGTTCGTTAGAATATTTTTGGCGTGACGTTAATATTTAAAAAAAAAAAAAAAATATTAACCCAATATGTTTCCAAATCTGAAGAGTTTCATTATCAGCTTCTACATTTAGTGTTTTATCGCCATTAAATACAGTACAATATAATTGCTCAGTGGGTATGCTATAGGGCGGTGAAGTCAGTAAATTCCAAGCCAGACGACATGCTTCAGCCTATAAAAATGAAATTTTTCAGATTTTCCGAACACAATTTAAATTATCATACAACCTTGCCATAATGTCCAAAAGACCAGTTTCCAAGCATTTCAAAAAATGAATGATGGTAACCATCCAAACCAACAATATCCAAATCATTGTGTTTACCACCRACTCTTATACATTTTTGGCTATTGGCCACACGATTGGCTGCTAAAGTTCTTTGACCAAGTAACACACTCTTAAACTAATAAAAAAAATCATCATTAACTTTTTTTTTATAATTCTAATACTCTTACCTGACACATGCCAGCGTTCACAAAAGCTATCGTAGGATCATTRTAAGGTACTACAGGACTAGATTTAATGTAAGTGTGATCATTTTCTTCAACAAAATAATCAATGAATCGTCTACGTATTTCATTTGAAGACAAAAATGACTTATAACGTTTYCTATAATTAATACTTAATGGCTTCAACTTAAACTTAATCATTTTTTCATTTCTTCAAAATATCTGTAAGAAAAACAAAATACTCAAGTAATTATGCTTTTTTGTATAAACTATGGTATAATAATTTTAATGATTACCTACATTTTAATATTTTTTAAATAAAAAGATAGTGTCACAAAATAAAACAGTTATTCAACATTCTTGTGAAAAACGCCTGACTTATAATTAATAATAATCTCAAAAACGACCAAGAGAATGAAAATACTGAATATAAATAAAACTAAATACCTTTTCTATGAGTATACATAAACGTCTAGAGAGCCTCTTAAAGCTTCAATACCTCAAGGCTCAAAACTTCTGAACCATCTCTTGACTAATTATAGAAGACTTATTCTCCCGAAGGTTCCGGTACTTTATACTTTTATAGTGTTTATATACTTTTATAAATACTTGTTATCTATAGGTTTGCTGGTGAGTGGTGCCCATAGATAGTAAAGAGTGGTGACCACCGCTTGGGCATGCATCATAGAGTTATTACTCTATAATGGCATGCATATTAATTATATTATCCGTAATACTGTAATCAATAATCCATAAATGAGTATAATAATCATAGCCGTGCCTCGTGCTCATAGAGTATAAATTGTACCGACTACCGGTCGTTGTCTAAACTCGAGCATCAATGAAAATGATAACGTTCTTTGTAAAAGAAAACTAGATCGCGATGCAGTTACCATTTAAATAATAAATTTTAAATGCTCGATTAATACCACGAAACATTTATTTGAAAATGATTTACTCAAWATGCAAAAATTGGTTTACGAAATTTCCAAATCATTTCCCAGTGTGATATAAAAATAATGAGATTTTAAAGGGGCCAATTCACGTACCTTCTTCTCTCATTATAAATTAATATGTACCTTATAGGCAACTAATAACTATACTTCAAAATGATACCTATACGGTATAGGCTATACCTATTATTGGCTATTAATCTACCAATATTTTGCAAATCATTCATCAATCCGATATAACAGAAACAATAAATTCTAATTATTTGATATTTATTTTTTAAGAA